AAGCTAGATAGCATAGTAAATAACCAACCATCACTGCTAGCTGGATCAAGTATACAATAAATAAATAAATAAATCAATAACCAATAAATATAAATTTTTCTACAGTTCAATAAATGAACAATTATTTGTAAGATGGTTTCATAGCTAAAAATAAACAATGTACAATACATTTTAAATTAAAAGCCAACAAGATAATTCAAAGTAATTCGTTGTTCAAATCGATGGTTCGATATTCAGATGGTTCAATGATTTGATTCACAAAACTCAAGTCTTAATGACTACTGTCACTTAGCCCGTGACAAGGCCCAGAACCACACATAAGCGGGTGGTAAAGCCCCAAAAGAAACTAGTTTCTGTGCCAATAAATAACCCCCATTGGCTAGGGTCCGAATCATAGTCAGACTAAAGTGATATTCAAAATTCAAACAATACACAACTTTCAAATAAAATATTCGATATTTTCAGAATAGACATTTGGTACAATTTTCAGAATAGTTTCACAAAATATTCAAATAAATTTCATAATAATATTCGATATTGTTTTATACTTGACCCATATTTTATTTTAAGAGAACATGAAGGTTATAAATAAATATTTATAATTTTAAACGATTCAGTAGGAATAAAAATGAACAAACAGTGATAGAGGGTTACTTACCTCACACAGCTACAATAATATTTCCCAAGCTAATCTCAAATTACCAAGATCCACCTCAATCTCACAAACCTAATAAAATATTACACCGCATAAACAATTATTATGTGCACCCATCTTTCTCTTCTTGTAACAACAATAGAATAAATTAATCCAATCGCCTAATAGGAACTCCCACAATTTAGCATCAGAACAAAGCCATCACGGCTTCGGAAATTCTCAACCCATATTATTCTATTGTTGTTTATTGAGAGGGTAATTTATATATATAAATTAGGCCGAGCTGGGTAATGGGCCGTTGTGAGCCACAGTAAGAAGGGCGGAGTAAAAAGGGCCTTGGCATTAGCCCGGTCCCCAAAAGGCCTTGTTGTTATCCCGGTCCAAGAGAGTGTTACAGACAGCCTGGTCACCGCATTCAGAGTTAGCCCGGTCTTGGCATGTTGCGGTTAGCCCGGTCAAAACCTTGCTATTTCTTAGCTCGGTCTAAACACACCATGGTTTGTAAAGGAGAAGCTGGGGTAAGATTAGTGAATGAAAGAAACCGAACTGGCTTTAGTTCGGTCTACTCAGCGGCTTAGCATAGCCATGCTTACCTCGGTTATATTGGGATCCGACCATGGTAAAAACCATCTCACTTGATTTAAGCAGTGAGGAGGGTGTTGAAGGATAAGCATTATCTTTCAGGAATGTGATTCCTTGGAGGACTCTACAGGAAGGAGTAAGAGTCCTACTAGAATTGTGCCACATGGAACCTATAAAAGCTCACAACATCACCTATGGAGAGATAACACAACTTTGATTCTCGAATACACAGAGCTTTTGTCTATTTGTCTATTTTGCTGACTTAGGCATCGGAGAGGTATCCGGCGCGCACTCGCTGGCTAGCTCACGTTTGTGTTTTTAGGAATAAAGCGACGTCGTACGGAGGAGCTCAGACTTGATCAACAGGATTATACGAGAAGGTTTATTTCTTTCCCGTACATTTATATACATGTAAAAATTTGTAATTGCTTGTAGTCAATCTTGTATCCCACAAACTCACCACCATTAAACCTAACCTATCGCATATTAATCTCAAAATATGAACCACCCAAACGGGATGCAAAATACACTCTAAAATTGAGCAAAATCGAGAACCCCAACATAGACTACATCAATATATCTATTTAATCATATATGCCCATAAAATCATCTATTGATATATTAACACCAAAATCATAGATAAGAATACAATAAAATAAATCTTACCGAAGTGATGAATAAAGCAAAACCACCACTCTTATGAATCCTCCCTCTTCCTTTTGGTTTTGGTCTCTTTTTTTTTTTTTTTTTTTTTTTTTCTTTTCTTAGGTCTCTTTTTTTTTTTTTTTTTTTCTTTTCTTTTTTCTTTGTTCTTTTTGTTTTTTGTTTTCTTCTACTCTTCAAACCGTTGAGCAGCAGCAGCCTCCAAATACCCAGCAGCACTTTCACAAGGCTCCCTTTTCTTTCCTTTTTTCTTTCTTTTTTTAAAAGGGTTGAAAACCTAATTCTTAAGATTACTAAAATACCCATACAATTTATTTTAATTATTAATCTATCCAAAATAATTCTATAAATAACTTGGGTTTTATAATCTCACTCAGATTCAGAAATGACTTCTAACTTGCTGTCAAAAGACTTTTCACCTGCAGCAGTTCTGGGATTTGTGGTGGTAAATGGATTGGGGGGCATGACCAGAGTGTCTTCATCTCCTTCTAGCATTTGAACCACAACTGTCATCGAAGGCCGGTCTCCTGGGTACCACTAAATGCACCAAAGTCCCACAATTGTTATTCTCTTCACAATCTTAGCATCTCCATCTTCCTCAACCACAATCCCCTGTTCATGATTTAAACGGTCATAGATCCATTCAGGGAAGTAAACTTCGCTGGTATTCTGTGTTGTAACATAGGTATTCTTCCTCCCTCCAACCATTTCAAGCAACAACATTCCAAAACTGTAGACATCTGATTTGTATGATACGTTCCCGAAGTTCCTTGAGAACACTTCAGGTGCAATATAGCCTACGGTGCCCCTAGCAGCAGTCATGGATACAGCACTTTGTTCTTTCGAACACAACTTGGCTAGACCAAAATCAGAAATCTTAGGATTGAAGTTGTGGTCCAACAAGATGTTATGAGGTTTAATATCGAAATGAAGGATTCGTTGATCACACCCTTGATGAAGATATTCAATACCTTTGGCTATCCCAAGAGCAATACCTTGCAGTCTCTCCCAACCAAGTGAACATTTTTCCTGATTGGATGATATAAACTTCTCTAGCGAATCATTTGGCAAGTACTCGTAAACGAGAGCTCTTTTAAATCCATCAGCACAGTATCCGACCAAGCGAACCACGTTGACGTGGTGAATTCTGCCTATTGTTTCAACTTCGTTGATGAAGTCGTCCCCATTCCCCTTGACATTGTTGAGGATCTTGGCTGCAATGTGAACATCATTGGCAAACTTTCCCTTGTACACTGTTCCATAACCTCCTTGGCCTAGTTTTTCCTTAAAATTATCAGTAATTTTCTTAATCTCTGCATAAGTGTATCTTGTAGGCTTGAGAGCTCTGTAATCCTCCAAAAATCTTTCAATTTTCATTTGATCCTCTTTCTTTAATTTATTTAATCTGTGGAGAAGATATACTGTTACCATGATTACAAGAAGAAGAAACAAGCCGGAAGGGATCACACCTGCAAATTTAAACAACCAAATTAGGAGGGAAGACTCCTCTAGAAAAATCAAGGGAAGAGGCATATAGAAAATTCACCTTTAAGAACTTGGCTTTTTGTTTCACCTGTAAAAGACAGACAAGATCAAACAGTTTGTCATTCATAAAATTGTATAATTTATTTGCTATAGGTTTTCAGGATGAAAGCTCTTTCATTTGTCAGCAGTGTCATAGTTTGTGGAGAGCTGATGGTTACTCCAATGAGTCACATGACAGCGAAAATCACCTAATAAATTTGTAGGCCTATGTGACTCCTAGGACTCTGTTTGGATCATGATTTTGGAATTGGAAATGAGAAGGGTGAGGAAGATGTGAATGAAAAATAACCTAAATTTTTTTATTTTTCTTTTTCAAATCTCTATCCAAAATCCTTGATACTGAAAGTAAAACAAGGGGGAAACTAGTAGTGGAGGGACGAAGGAGTACCTGTAGCTTGTTTGCCAATTGAACATTCAGTTTCATCATGTTTTCTGCTGCTGCTGTTATTCCTCCTCCTCAATCTACAATACTTGCCTATTTCTTCACAACTCCCACATATGGGCTTGGACCAACTCAATCGAAGGTCATTAGTATAGAAATCAGGAGAACCATATCGAGGGGAATCTATTGATGTTATGGTATATAACTTTCTGCAAGATAATAGGAACTGCTGGATTAAAAAATCATCAGGTACCGCATAGACGACGTGACCTTGGCTGCTGTTATGGCAATTATTTGTGATTCGAAACGGTGAATTTCTATAATATGCATATTCTCTATCATACCATTCCACAGGGTAGGTTTGCTTTGTTGAGGAGGGACAACTGAAAAGGCTAAACTTGGGTAGGTTAACTGGTGAAAATTTGAAAGGAGAGGCCGATAAATTGTTGTTTAGATTTAGGAGAAGTTGGTCGAGAAAACAACCGCTGGGGTCATTTATATATAACGATTGGTCTATGTAATCGATATGTTCGACTAATACCTTGACAGTCCCAGAAAATGGGATCTCAAGCAGGGTATCATTGGTTGGGGAGCAGGATAGTTGAAATCCAGGATACCCACAGTGATTTGGCTGATGGTCCCTTAGCCAGAATGGGAACCGGATGTCTGGGCCGTAGTCCCCACAACTTCGTGTCACCGCGCATTCATCTGAATCTCGTGGTCATGCTCGTGGTTTTGGTTGTGGTGCTCCTCCAACTCCAAGAAATCCTGCGGCCAATACTACTGCTTGGAGTTGGAACAACAACAAGAGAAAGACAGAGAACAAGAGGAAGAAGAAGAACATCATGGCCATTTCCAATTTTAATTTCCTTCGTGGAGTTCCAAATTCAATGCCTCGTCCTCATCCTCATCCTGTCTTTCTATATTGATGCTAATTGCTCGCTTGACTTCAAGTCCTCATCTTCATCCTCTGTCTCTCTCTCTCTCTGTCTCTCTCTCTCTCTCTATTGATACTAACTGCTTGCTTGACTTCAAGTCAAACACGGCAAAGCGATGTGACGAAAAAAAAGAATCAAACAAAACCGTGTAGTTTTGAAGTTTAACCCACTTCGTTGCAATTACTTGGTTAGTATCTATAGTTTTCAATGAAAGACTTGGACCTTTCAGGCAACGACTTACTTTACTAGCCCAAATCACATTCCAGTGATAATATTATAATGTGGACCTTGAACTTATTATTATCCACAGCAATGGGACTTGGGCATATCTGATACCATCGCCTTTCCCTTCCATCATCCATCAATGTCTTGGCTTCTTTCCTCCATTCTTCTTCTTCTTCTTCTTCATGTCCTGTTTTATGTAAATTGCGATGCTTTAAGAAGTGATGGGAACTGTGATTCTTCTTGTGGGAACATTCAAAGCATCAGATACCCATTTCGATTTGAAGGTGATCCAGAAAATTGCGGAAAAAAGATATATGAACTGGCCTGCCACAACAATCGTCCACTGCTTAACTTATCATCGGCGGGTGATACTAAATACTACTACGTGAAGGCAATCAACTACAACAACTACACAATCCGACTCGTGGATGTGGGCATTCAAAACGGAAAGTGCTCCTCCCTCCCTCTTTATTCTTTATCCTCCGGAGACATTTCTAGTCCATATTATTATAATTCATATTATTATTATTCATCTAGTCCATATGAGCTCCAACGGGAGTTTACCCTTGACGCTGTAGCAGTGTTGATGGAATGTGAAAATCCAGTGAATTGTCCACTATACATGAACACCAGTAGCAGTGCCTACACTAGTTGTATTAATAAAACAGTCAAGTCTTCTTCTTCGCAAACCCATTATTATTATTCTTACTTTCTGTTCGGGAACTTGAGAGCGTCGGATGTGGCAGACCTGTGCAGAATAGATGAGATAGTTGCAACTACCTTGTGGTCTCCAACAACAGCAGCAAGTTGCAACTTTTCCAGTAAATTCATGGAGTTCCACGCACAGTTGGCGTATGGATTTGAGCTTTCATGGACCAACATTCTCTGTGAAAATTGCAGAGGAGGCACTTGCGTCATTGATCCTACTACCAATTACACCGTCACTTGTTCCAACTACTGCCATTCCCCATTCAATTGGACCTGTAAGATTTTCTGCACTTTTTTTTTTTCAATTAAATCTACTTAACACAGAACCATGTGGTTAAAATTGTTTTATGTGTTTCCTTGTGTATTGATTTTGTGTCCATAATCTTCGTTAGCCAAATTACATTTTGGAACTTATGTCACTTTAATCCTTCACTTTCAATTGTAGTACATTTTATCTTGAATTTTGAATTTCGTTTCAAATAAGAACAATCGAAGATATTGTTACTCCATTTGAAGGACAAAATCGTCATACAACTTATTTTGTGTTGGTTAACTTATATATTATTTGAAATATAATGGCATTTATTTTAATGAATAATGTTGAAACTTTTTTGGCTATAAAGTTCTGTTTAGTTTGATTTTTGGAATCTATTTTCAGAATTTTTTTCTAAGAAACTGAAAATTAAATTGGTGAAAAAAAAATATAAAATATATCATTTTTATATAATTTTATCTTTTGGGAATATAGAAATAATTTTTTTAAATAATTTTTTTATATTTATTTTTGTTAAATTAGTTTTTATTTTTTCAAAAGTCAAAATGGTGATAACTTTGATATCATTATTAATCCAATCCATTAAATCAAAAAATCCAAAACTAAAAACATTTATGTATTAAACATATCAATTATACATTAAAAGCTTGATAACCATTCATTACATGATAACTATCCAAAAATATCTATAAACAATAAATACAACCATATATTACAAGGTAACCAAAAAAAAATATCAACAAAACGTCCACTCATTACATGATCATCATCCAAACACATACTAAAATTAATTTGGTAAAAAAATTAAAATGTAAAAGATTTATCATTTTTATATACTTTGGTGAGTAGAAACAATTTTTAAAATTTTAAAAATAATTTTTTGACATTTATTTTTGTCAAATTAGTTTATATTTTATCAAATTGACGACTTTGCCCTTGAAATGGAGTAATAATATTTTTAATTGTCCTTATTAGAAATGAGATTTAAAATTTAAAGTCAAATGTATCGCAATTGAAAGGTCAAGAACCAAAGTTACACAAGTCTCAAACTACGTGGACTGTTAGTGTAATTCGCCCTTATATTATTTGATCTCTACATTTTTAATTAGCTTAATTTTGACTCTTAATTTTACATTATGTGTTAATGTAGTCTAATTAATAACATCCTAGCAATGATGGACCTAGAGGAGGCGATCGCCCCTTATGATTTCAAAAATATCATTTGTTGTAATAGTATTAATTATAATTATCTTCAAATTATATAGGCCCGTTCCCTAAGTATTCGTTTTACAAATTTTAAATGGTCATCTTCTCTAGATTTTTTTAAAAATTTTAGTGGTTGCTCCTTTGTATCTATAAAACATTGGATCAAAGTACAAGATTAGAACCACCCGAGTTGGTGGCCTGGTGGAGGATGTGGCACATTTCCTAGCCGAGAGTCAGGGTCGATTTCTGGGAGGGTCGTTTGACATCACTCCCTGTGAACACGCTCATACTCCCCTCGAACCCTATCCTCTGCTGCGGCGTGTGGATGCCCTCCATTGGTACCCTGGTAGTGGGTCCTTCACTTGGTGGGGGTTAATTCCTAACTGGCAACCGATTACCCCGGGGTTAGGGCCCAATGGGGCCGTGATGACACTACAGAGCCCTTTTTTCCAGTTCAATTTTCTTGTTCAAAAAAAAAAAAAAAAAGTATAAGATTAGACAAAATATAATAAAAAAATTAGTTTCATATAACTACCATTGATTACAAGTCCTACTTCTAGATAATAAAATAAGGAATTAGTTAGTTATTGATCACATTCATTGATGAAGACATTATGCAAGATTTTAAAGTCGATTCTATCATAGATGTTTTTAATGATATGAAAAAGTATCAAACAAAACTCAATATAGTTCAATAGATTATTTTTTATAGTTGCCTTTTGTAACTCAATGTGGATAAAAAGAATGGAAACACTATGAGGGTCTGTACCATATGTACCTTATAACTATAAAATAATAATAATAATAATAATAATAATAATAATAATAAATTAGCATGATTTTAATTTTTTGAGTCATAACTAAATATAAAAAATAAAAAAAAAAAATTGTCATAACTAAACACAAGATATAACTAAAAAAGAAAATTAATCATAACTAAATGTGCATATAGTGCACTTTTTTTAAAGGGGTATATATTAGAATTTTTCTAAAAATAAATGCTTATTATATATGTTTTCATCTTATTTTTGTTTTTTATATATCAGTAAAAAATTGTTATTTATAATTCATATTTTCTATTTGAAATTTTTGTTAGTATTTATATGTTTGCCCCCTATATGAAAATTTTGGGTCTGTTCGTGGCCATTAGTGTTTTTGACGGAAAATGATCATTGATTTGGTAGAGTGGAAATCACTAAATTGAACAAATCTATACTTTTGCCTCTAAAAACATGATACTTGTTACTTATGTGCACATTTTTCATTAAAAAAAATACTAACCATTGTAATTAGTTGGATTAAATTAAGACAAAATTATAAATTTATTATCAAAATCGAGTTAATTGAACTTACAACGACTAAAATGACAAAATAACCAAAATACAAAATATTTTGCCCATCTTTTTTTGGTAACAGTAAGGAAAGAAAAATAGGAGTTTTTCGCTTTGGTTTTTTATTTTCACAAATTGTTAGGTGTGTATGAATCAGTTTGATTCGAGTTAACACTAAACTCATAACCAACCAATTAGAATCAATTCAAAAATTTTAAATCTATGACTAAACCAATCTTTCATTAAATTCAAACCAAACTAGCAAACAAACTCAATAAAACTTGAGTTAATGTGGATTGGAACGCGATTCCACTTTACTAAAAATAAGTGAATAATTTATTTTTAAAAAAGTAGCCTCCATTTCAATCTTCCTTCATTATAAGTCATATATTTTTGTAAGTAAATAAATAATCAACAATAAAAGTTTACAATAAACAAGTCTGGGTCATTTTAACATAATTCAAATGAAAGCACAGCATTATTTCAAGTTTTAATAAACATTCACCGTAATTCCAATACAAATATACGATGGTAAAAAAAAAGTCTGATTTGTTTGTTTGTTTTTTTTTTTTCTTCTCTTACATGGCATGATTCGATATAGCAATATCTACCTTAGTATTTACTTCATACTAATTATTTGAAAACAACTTAGCATAAATATACTTTTATTAGTAATATATTTAAGTTTGGGACTTGGGGTGGGTCAATTTAAACATGTCCTAAATCAAGAACCAAATCAATACTATGGAATCCATGATTTTAAGACATAGAACCAAACAAAAATATTGGGGAAAAAAAAACCAACCAATGGATAGAGGTTAGTTTTCCAAGTTTTTTTTGTATACTTTTAATTACTACTCAAATTCAAAATTCTACTGAATGTTAGTCCAAAACTTAGTTGTCTTCAAACAAGATTTTTTATGAAAGAGAGATTTATAAGTATTTTTTGTAAGAGGAATACTAGGTGCACAGAAATAAAGCACATAAATAAATGTTTACAGGCAAATTCAATGTGTGAACCCACCACAGCAAAACTAAATCTGATGCACACAGAGTTTGTGTACATTTTTTTTTTTTTCTGGCTTATTTATGCGCATTGATTTTTTCTGTTTCTATAATTTAACAGGCACCTAAACTGATGTTTAAAGGCCAAAAAATGTAAGGCTGCCATGTAACATATTGTGTCTGGGGATTAGCCTCAAAGATCTTATTTTATTTTTATTTTTTTGAGAGAGAGAGAGAGAGATACCTTAAACTATCTCCTCAGTTTTTGTTTTTGTTTTTAATATATTTTAAGATTAATGACTTTAGTTTGCTAACATGATTTGCTTGTCCAAAAAAAAAATGCAGGTCGCTTGGAGATGATTGCCTACTGTAAGCACTCTTTAGTTTACTTTTTTTTTTTAACTGCCTTGGTCACTTCACTGAATCTTTGGTACATTTTTTCTTTCAGACTATGTCTTTCCTTCACTGCAACTCACAGGTAACATTTCTTCTTTTTACTATAAAGCTCGAAAATCTGAAGTTAAGGCTGTCTTTGTTTTACGAATTTGAGGAGAGATTTGGAAAGGAAAAAGGAAAATGCAAGTAAAATGTGAATGAAATATTATTTCACCTACGTTTCTTAACGATGTCCCTTTCCAAATCCCTCCCATATTCCATGAATCAAACACAACCTAAAAGACATGAAGAACCAAAATCCAATAACAAAAGATGGAAGAATTCGACGTACGATTCTATTGGTAGAGAAAAACGATTTCTTCTTCTTCTTATTTGTTCATGCTTTGATCTCCCTGGGCAGGATTTATTCTTGGAGCCAGAACATTTTGTGGGATGCTATGCTTATTCGCATTTTTAATCTATAAGTTTCGGACAAGGCATTTATCAATGTTTGATACCATTGAAGGTTTCTTACAAAGTCAGAATAACCTCATGCCTATTAGGTACTCTTATTGGAACATTAAGACGATGACCAAAGGTTTCAAGGACAAGTTGGGGGAAGGAGGCTTTGGTTGTGTATACAAAGGAAAACTTCGGAGTGATCATATTGTGGCAATAAAGATATTAAATAAGCACAAAGCTAATGGCCAAGATTTCATCAATGAAGTTGCTACCATTGGAAGAATTCATCATGTCAATGTGGTACAACTAATCGGATTTTGTGCTGACGGATCTAAGCGTGCTCTGGTCTATGACTTCATGCCTAATGGGTCTCTTGAAAAGTACATTTTTTCCCAAGAAGCAAATATGTCCTTGAGTTGCAAGCAAATGTATGAGATTTCTCTTGGCGTGGCCCGTGGGATTGAATATTTGCATCGGGGTTGTGATATGCAAATTTTACATTTCGACATCAAGCCTCACAACATTCTTTTAGACGAGAATTTCACTCCAAAAGTTTCCGACTTTGGGCTTGCGAAATTGTATCCAACAGATAATAGCATTGTGTATGTGACTGCAGCAAGAGGAACAATGGGCTACATGGCTCCAGAATTGTTCTACAAAAACATTGGACGTGTTTCCTACAAAGTTGATGTTTATAGTTTCGGAATGTTGTTGATGGAAATGGCAGGTAGAAGGAGGAACTTGAATGCATTTGCTGATCATACCAGCCAAATTTACTTCCCTTCTTGGGTTTGTGACCAATTTAGAGAAGGGAAGGACGTGGAAATGGGAGAGAGCACAGAGGAAGAAAGACAGATGATAAGAAAAATGATAATAACAGCGTTATGGTGCATACAAATGAAGCCTGATGATCGTCCTGCGATGAATAAAGTTGTAGAAATGCTTGAAGGAAATATTGAACTTGTGCAAATGCCTCCGAAGCCTTTCCTAACTCCTCAAGAGATACCAACTGAAGATAACTGAATGAACCCCTTTCCTAACTCCAATAATTTGGAATGATAAATGTTGCACTATTGCAATAGTACAATAATAAATAAGGCAGTAAATCTTCTTCCATGCATGATTGTTTCATAAATTTATATCCTTCTTATAAAATAGTAAAATTTTAATAAATTTATTTTGCAATGTAATGAAATCTAACTTGGTTTGGCACTATGTAGCAGAAAAATGCTCAAACAATGCTCAGGAGAAATGTTCAAGCAAAATATATAAATTTATATATTTATTATGTATAATTTTATAATATAACATTTATTTCAAAAGTTTGAATGTAGATTAATGCTTATAAATCTGTATTAGTTTTATTTTATTATAGATTAATTTGTCCAAACTTGTAAAGTGTATTGGAGTCTAAAAAAAATCTAAAAACAAATGACACATTTGGACACATGTCTGACAAGTATTGGGAAGCATGAGTGTCGATGTTCACCTGTCCGACACACACATTTAGTAGCAGTCCTGTGTTTTTTACGTCCTAAGCAAAATCTTTAAAAGGTGCATATCGGTGATGAGAGAGTATGGTGTGGCTGGCCTTTTAGACTAAACAACCAGATATTGACAGCGAAGAAGAAGAAGGAGAAATGGAAAGCAAATAAGAAGCAAGAACAGGCAATATATACTTTCTTATCTCTCTCTCTATCTCTCTCTCTCTCTCTTTTCTTTCTTTTTTTTTTCCCTTCTGGTGCCGCTTTTGTATCTGCTATTCTCAAATTGTGTCACTGTTAAAGGCATTGTATTGACATGAGGCTGCGTATGTTGTAGCCCTACCTGGCTTTGAAGCCTTCGTTTCTGCTATTCTCAAATTTATTTTTTTCTACAGATGAACAAAGTTAATCAGGGTTATGAGTTCAATTTTGGAGTAGATTTTAGACATTAATTTTAGTGCCTAATGTGAGAGGGTTGTGGCTGGACTGCAGGATCAAATTGAGGAAGCAAAGAAAGTCTGACATGGTGAACCTCTTTATGCTTTAGTCTTCTGACACACACACACACACACACAAAAAAAAAAAACACTCTTGATTCTTTAATCTTGACACACACACACACAAAAAAAAAAAAACACTCTTGATTCTTTAATCTAGCTACTAGTTTAGTTAAGGTTTGTGTGTAGGATATACATGTTATTAACCCTTTCTTTAACGGGATTTATGAAACTAAGATTTACTTTAAGGGGCATTTGATGCTTATATCTTCATCAATCATATAGACCTTGAGCATAATTTGTGTGGTTGTCATATTTTATCACTGTTACACTGAAGACTGTAATCCTTTATTGCCTTTAATGGAATATATAATGTGCCATGGTAATGACTTGGTGTTTTCAGAAACATTGTCTATAACCATAGAAGCAAAGTCCCGCCTTTTTATTTCGAGACATTTGAAGGAAAATCAAGGAGAATGATATCTTCAATCTTGTGCAATTACCTGTTTTAATTTCTCAAAAAATTATATCAAAAATTTGAAGTTTTTTTTTATTTTTTTATATGGCTTGTTGAACTATAGTATACAAGAGTTTTATCTAATTATCATCCTAACAATCTCTGTTTACTTTTATAGGATATAATTTCTTATTTTCCATGTAATTTAAAAAAATTAAGGCATGTTTCTTTGATGGCTTATGGATCTTTACAAAGACAGTGACTGTAAATCGGTTTCACTGTTTCATTCTATGTTTTTAGATGGCATAAGACTATTCTTGTTCAAAGATTATAATGGTTAGTTATGGTCTGAGATGAGTGTAGACGTCCCCGAATGCCCCGGGAGGGATGGGTCCCGTTCTGTTCATTTGGGGTTACTACAGCTCGGACTTTCAAATTGTCACGGTTCTAAATCTGAACCAAAGAGTCCAAATCCGGCAAATCGTTTTGAGAAAACAAATTTTTTTGAAAGAAGTGCCAAACATGGACTGCTTTGCCAGATACAGAGTCGCCACCTAAATATTTTATTTTTGGGGAATTTAGGAAACCCTGACTCGTTGCCTAAGGCCACGTGTCCGTCATCACCAAAGCTGCCTCGGCTCGGGAACTTGGGGACGATTGGGGAAGGGCAACTATGAGCACCCCCTCTCGCCCGATCCGAAGATCTACTAACCATGAATATTAGTTTTGAAAACATTATGCGTTCTTATTCGGTTATTAGCCTAGATTTACTATTGATGCGCACAGCATACAAAGTTAGACTGGATCGGCCTGAATTGGAACAAAACATTTCATGTTTGTTTTGTTTGAAAATGGTTTGTGGTGCTCCGCAAGTAGGTTTAAGACGTGGATTTTGCCACCCTCAGGTGGGCTTAGAAAACATGATTTTGCCACTATCTAGTGGGCTTAAAACTCCATAATTGATGAATTGCTCAATTCAAATAACCCAACCTTCACCCACAGGCATTCAGGCAGTTAAATCACATAAGCATATAGCCTCATGGTAAGCATGCTATTCATGGCAGTCACTCACACGCATGCAAGGATGCTAAAGCATAAAAATTACCGAGTACTCCAAGCCAAAACGAAGCTAGTTAGAAATCTATGATGATCCTAATTATACAAAATGCTAATGCAACACATGCAAAATGCAACTAAGATAGGCTCAGCTATTCTAAACATGGCATATGAGATACAAGCTAACAAGTAATTCAATCTTGGAATTGAAATACAATGCAGTTAGTATGATGCGCCGAGCCCGATGCATGCAAAACAGATTGAATGATGCAACATGCTATCATACTGTATGCTAATTGAAACATGTCCCTAATCTAACCATCATAAGCTGGTAAATAAAAGATAAAAGGGAGAAAGACGTGGGGTTGGAAGACATACATCACACACACGCACACTTATTACAATTATGCCCTCGCACAGAGGGTCCGAATAAAATAATATACAGTCCCAAATAATACAATCCGAATAAATAATACAGTCCAAATATGTAAAAAAAATCCTAATTAATTACCAAATTAACTAAGAAAACAATAAACTGGCATACGAGCCAGGGACCGCCTTGACTCTTCTTCAGATGATGAATAATGCATATCCGGGTTGCCTTTTTACGAAAATCCACTGTGATGTCCCAATTAGCCTTTGTTTGCGATTGATGCCGGAATGCTGTGCAAGGCTTTTGAAAGGCTACTGATTCTTGATTTGATGCAACAAAGAGTAGGAAAAGGGCATGGGAATGTATTTTTACAAATGTATGCATGCCTCGATCCTCGTGCCACCAATCACGCATCTCGATGCATGATGGCCGAGGAGTCGAATTGTGCAACTCAATATAGAATGAATGCATATGAAACAACAAGACCTAACTCCATCATGGGCAATCCAGAGTGTCGATGACAGGGAATTGAGACACGTTCCGTCACTCGAAGTACGAAACGTCCCTCGTTTCCCGTACTCGGGCTAACTCCTATCCGAAGCACGATGCAATATGCATGATATGCATGAAATGCAACTAAGATACAACCTAACATACACAATGCTATGAAATGGCATACACGATGCACGAGATAACATGGCATACACAATGCGCTAACATACAACCTAGCATACGCAATGCTATGAAATGAAATGGCATACACAATGCATAATGGACTTACACCAACATGAGTGGACCTCAGCCACACTCACATAAGAGGCCATTGGGATGAAAATGAGACTCTCGAGGTGCGTGCACGCATGCACGCAAACCGAGGACCGAACCTAAGGCACGTATGCCACTCTAACAAGGCATGGCAAGACATGGAACATGATATGCAAACATGAAAATTTCAGTAGCAAAATATGATGCAAAACAGCCCCGAATCATTGAAACATGGCACCCGATGCATGAGACGAATCCCAAAACTCAAAACTAGGCATGCACAATGACCTATGGCTATGCAAAACATGCATTATTTGAATATGCAGCATAAAGACAGAATCAAGGCAGTCCCAAAACAAGAATATTTACAGTTTTGAGCAAGGCTAAACAATGAACACAAATAGGACTAAGCTAGCATGCGAAAATGGCCCCAAAAGAGGGATAATGAAGCAAGTAGCATCTTCTGGCCCTAAATGGAAAAGAGCCCTTCAAAAAAGTTTAAGAGGAGCTCAAAACATGGTATTTTACAGTTTATGATCAAACCCAAAATAGTGCATAAGCAAGCTTAAAATACTATACAAAATAGGGCCTAAAAGAGAGCTTCAACACAAAGAGCAAAAAGGAAGCCTCAAACAGTGAAAGACCCTTGATCAAACATGAAGAGTTGGTCAAAATAAGGCTATTTACAGTTTGGACCAGAGCCCAAAAATATAAGCACAAGGTGCTAACAAAACATGCAAAAACAAGGCCAAAAGGGGGATAAAGAGGCAAGTGCCAAAAGGAAACCTCAAACAGTGAATATCTCTTCAACAATGTTGAAGAAGGGCTCAAAATAAGCCACTTTTCAGTTTATGACAGAGCTCAAAACAGTTTACATATAGGCCTAAAATACTATGCAAGAAAGAGGCATACAAGAGAGGTAAAGAAGCAAGTGCAAAAAGGAAGCCTAAAACAGGAAAATACCCTTAAACAAACATGAAAAAGAGCTCAAAATAATGCTATTTTCAGTTAGGGTCGGAGCCCAAAAATATGAGCACGAATGACTTAGAAAGCATACAAAATAAGCTCAAAAAGAGGGAAAAAGTGGCTCACCCTTGAAGAACAAACTTTAGCAACCTCTTGGCCTGAGAAAAGGTGCCTCCTAAGCTCTGAGAAGATCCTCCAAGCTCCTGGAATGGAGTGGTGGTATGGTGCTATGTGATGGTGTAGAAATGGGTGTAGGATTTAAGAGGTTTGGAGGGTTGAAGTGTAGAGAGAGAGAGAGATACAACCCAAGAGGCTTAAACAAAATTTTCTAACCCTTCAAATGAGAGTTGGAGGGCCTGATATATAGGAAAAAGTGTGGGAAAAAAAGGGAGAAAAAAGGGGGGGAAATGAATTCAAGTTTCCCCCCAAAAGTGCAGCCTCCCGGATACACAATCTGGGAGGAAACAAAATACATATTTGTAATGTACCTGGAGAGAGGATCAAGGCTGGCCTGGTATCTAAGTTGCAGGTGGCCGGTCGG